AGAGTCTCAAAAGTGCATTGCAGAGGCGGTTAAACAGTAGCCACATTTTATAGGTGAGGAAACTAAGGCACAGGGAGGCTGTGACTTGCCTGAGGTCATACAAGCCAATGGCAGATACAGGAGTACAACTCAAGACTTTTCTGTACTCCACTTTAGCTACCACATCCTGTTGCCTCTACATTAACTGCACTGGTTTAACATCTGTCTGAGGAACAAGACTTGTATAACACAAAGAAGTGCTGTACCAGAGCCAGTCAGTGACAGTCAGTTTCAACCAAAAGCAAAAGAAAGTGTAGTATTCCGTAAATCAAAATGCACTTAAGGCAGGAGTGTCAAGCTTACCTCCTGCCCCGAGCCAGATTAGGACCACAGGGCTCCTTGTAGGCTGCATCCAGCCCAGGGCAAAGGGTGGTTCTGGTGGAGGCAGCTCTGGTTCCTGCCTGGTACATGCAGTGGCAAGCAGCAGCCCTGGTCCTGATGCATGCTACGCGCCCCATGCTGGATCTGGAGCTGCTGCCGCTACTATGGGCCAAGGCAGCAGCACATGGGGTATACAGCAGTGACACCTCTGACATGGGGCATGCAGCATACAGTAGTGGTAGGGCCACTAGCCAAGGACGTAGGGCTGCTTTAGTGGTGATGGGCAAAACAGCTGGAGGGTGTGATGGTATCAGTCCTTGCTCGCCCTCTTGCTGCTGACTGCCATGTCCACCAGGGCCCAGGAACCCTGGATTCTGTGGCAAGCCACTCCCTTGGCTACACAGCCCAACTTCTGCTGGCCTGTCAGTAGCCTGGTGGGCCAGACAGAGCAGCTGCACTGACTTAAAGGAATGATCACACTGGAAGTTGTATGTGAACTTGGAGAAAGACAAGCTCGTTGAATAAGACAAATGGTGATAATTTTGTGAAAAAACCTTAGCCTGTGTTGAAAGGTAGAGTAGTTTAGATACTGTTAAGTTTGACTTTTGCAGAGAGGCCATGCAGACATCTAGAATAATTAACCCTAAAAATAAATGAGCCAAAATAAACTGAAAGCTGTCCATCTAGATCACCAATGCAACTTTGGATAGCTATTGTGCTGCAGAAATGAAATGTGATACGTGTAATCAAGGTTATCCAACTTTTGAGCACCTGGGGACCATACACCACATGTGATGCACATGCAGTCTCCTCTGGCCCTCCCAGGCACATACCCCAATGCCCCCCACCATTCAAGTCCCCCCAGATGTCAGGCTCAGTGGGCCATACTGCTCCATCCCCAGAGGTGGAGGGAGGAAGTGGAAGCTGGAGGAGGGAGGAGACTGGAACACCAGTGGTGGCAGCAGCTGGAGTGATCAGTGGTGCCCAGGTAGGAGCCCACAGACCACAAATCAATCCCTTGCAGGCTGGCCAGCAAGCCATGAATTGGACAGCACTGATGTAGTTCAGTATTGAACAGCTGGCTGTGTCTCCTGCCCAGATGCCACTCCCCATATTGCTCTGGTTGCAGCAGTCTCCAGGCTCTCCCTCCCGCCTCTGGCTTCTTTCTGTGCCCTCTCCTGAGGGCAATGCAAGGGGGCTGAAGGTAAGATTATGGCCATGTGGGTATATGGTGCAGTGGTGGTAGTGGCATCTGTACAGTGCAGCGGGGGGCATCTATGCAGCCCACAGCCCGATTTTAGTGAAGCCTGGTGGGTATGTCTGGTCCCTTGCTGCTTATATGTTAGACAGCCCTGATGTAGATCACTGCCTACAGAGAAGTACCCTACAGCTCAATTTACTGGTGGCAAACAACAATTTAAGAAAGGAACGAGGAAAAACACAGGCCTGCATTTCAAAAAGCCTGACCTTGAATTGGATGCTCATGAGATGGCTGATTTACTGACAAAGATTGTTGATCCGATTCATTCATGTGTATGTTTTGATTCTGTTCTTCACTAATTTGATGGGGCTGGACTGTATCTGGGCTAATATGAGACTGACGACTAGGTTCTTGGCTCAGCTGCATGTGCTGAGTTGGATGTGAAGATCCTGCTGTCAAATGAATTTCTTCAGTTGGTCCCTGATGTGCATGGAGATGTTCCAGCGCCTCCTTTGAAAGAGTGATGACGTGCATTTGCTCAGGCTGTGCAGTTTCCATTTGGTTCTCTATCATATTTATACTTTGGATTTGTTCTGCTTGTTCTTGTTGAGCTGAAAGCAGCAAGTTCTGCAGCTGCTGTGATGGCTGAGCAAGTAATGTAAGATTAGCACCTTGATCTGCCGTCATATTTTGGGAGTTCTCAGCAGCAACAATACTAATACCTTGGCTGTGGCCAGGCATGAAGTTTATGTTATGTACTGAATCAGTGACCAGTAACTGAATCTCTTGCCCTCCTGATGTGGATAGCTGATACTGCTGTAGCTGAAGAACATTTCTGACCTCTTCTGAGTTACTGCTACTGCTTGGGGCAGCACTGACTTCTTGCAATTGCTTCTCTTTGATGTGAATTTTCAAATGAGATTTCAAATTGTCCAAACGTGCAAACTGCAAATTACACTCTGGGCAGGAGAAAGGCTTTTTTCCTGTGTGCAAGATACAGTGTCTTCTCTTGGCACTTGAATCAGAGAAGGATTTTCCACATATACCACAAGAATATGGCTTTTCTCCTCTGCAAGAGAATGCAATTTACTTCATCAGCAACATCCATTTTAAAGCAACTATTTTCTGCCAAGTATTACAGGAAAAGTATTTCAACAGAGGCTCTGCTATGCTGCAGAACACTTGCATGCTGCCATGTAAGAAAAAATTCAGTGTCAGATTTTCTAGATTTTTCTTTTAAGAACTGCACAACGGTGGGACCAAACCTGTAATAATTTTTCTATATCCAAAAGCTAGTAAGATAAACAGAACCACTGTCATACAGTAATAACTGAGGTTATAAAACTCTGCAGTTGGAATTTGACAAAGAGCAAATGGCACCATAGACACCAAAATGATCAGAAAAATGCAGCCACCTATTTCAGACCTTTAAAAGCAGTAGTCATTTTAAAGATAAAAATTTATTTCCAGCTTTTTTAGGGCTGGTTGACAAATACCTGAAGGCTAATTTCCTGCCTACAAGCAACTTGGAAAGACCAGAATGTAATTTACTGTACTCTAATTTATTTTACTTCATGCCTCAGTTAAAAAAATCTAATTCTGACATTTTATCACTGTGGTCAGTCTACATACATCTCCCTACACCTCCCTTTGTTTCCCTGTTATTTAGGAGGGGCAAGCTTTATTGTGATATCTTTTATTGGATCAAATGTACAGCTGAGGGAAGATGCTGGACAAACTTCCTGACATACATTTTCATCAGGCCCATGCCCCTCACAGCTATACATTTGGTCTAATGAAAGATCTCACAAAAACTCTTGCCTTTCATACATTTCCTTGACCTCACAGCTACAATGTTTCAACCCTACTACCCAATAGTTATTGCACTTTTGCTTTAAAATATCAAGCAGAATTCCATGAGAAAACTATTTTCAAATATGTTAAAATATGCACTGCATTTCACACTTCCTTCCCAGGAATAAATTGGCCAGATTGCCCCCATTAATTGCCAGAGATGTTTCTATTTGGAATCTATGCCACAACTGTCACTCACGTTTGAACACCCAAGGCCACATCAGCATTAGGGCTTGGAAATGTCTGACACCAATTTCAGGCACACATGACTAAATGCAACTGTAAGAGTTTAGATTTGTATATGCCAGGGTTTTAAACTGTTAAGCAAGTGAGGCAGCTTTTTTACACCATGACTATAGGGACTTAATACCTTTCTGGAGAAGCTGACAATGTCATTTTCATATTAAGTGTTACTTGTTTAGTTACAGACACAATACTTAATACTGTACAATACACAGATGTAAAGACAGACTTTGTTTCAGAGAGGAGTCTTGCCTTGGTTCAAGGAGCACAGGGCAGGGAAGAGAAAGCAGAGCACCAGATGGGGCAGGGGAAGGGGACTGGAGTGGCACTTGTGAGGTGTGAGGCTCACTTTGTGGCATGCCTAGCAAAAAGGTTGGCTCCCCCACTGCTTTAGAACAATGTGTAAAAACCCAAGAATACAGAATACAGGGCTCATCATTTTAACTGATTTCTCCATCAAAATTTCTAGAAATATTCAAATGCAGTGAATATAAGTTGGTTAAGTAAAGAGCAAACATACATGCTAATCGAAGCTTTTACTAAAATCGACCACATACCAGTTTATGGAATTATAGCTACTCAGGGTAGTTGGAAACCAGCACATGATACACACACTGGACTAGATTTTGTCTTCTTAAGAGCTATGGTATAATACAAAAAATTCAAACCAGCAAAGCCATACCTGTGGATTCTGATATGAGTTTGAAGAGAACTTTTTGCTGTGAACGACTTGCCACAGATTTCACAAGTAAATGGCTTCTCACCTACCAAAGAGTTTGACATACATTCAAAAGTTATAGTTAGTGTAGAAGTATTATTATTAATAAAAATGCCATTTGGTTCCTACATATCACTTCTCCTTAGTGGGTCTCAAAGCACTTTACAAAGTAGTTTATAGTCATTATACCCATTTTGCAGATGGGGGAAGTGAGGAAGAGAGAAATTAATGATTTGTCAAGGTCATCCAGCAGCCCAGTAGCAAAGCCTGGAACAATAGCAGATCTCTAGAATCCCAGGCCAGTACTATCCAGCAGAACACCCCAACTCCCTAGGATGTTCTTAAAAAAAACTACTGTCCATACAGTCAAGTGTAAATGCAAATTACTCCCATTTTTTCTTAACTCAGAATTAAGTAGTTACATTCTTACATTTATAGTGCAATGGAGTACAGACAGCTGAAACTCAAGGGTGAAAGTTGCTGGTTAACTAGGGGTATAACAGGTTTTGTAAGATACATTTTTGTCTTACTCCTCCTTGAGAACCTGTGTTTAGGTTTCTTAAGTCCAAGGGCAATAGTGATATCAGCTGACCTAGGCTTTTCACAAAACTGAGAAGAAAAATACTGAATCTACTTAAAAATGGTACATCTTGCTTTGGCAACATTTTTGAAAATTTGTACAAAGTGGGCACATCTACATGAGACACCAACTGCGCAGAAGCCTAATAGCACTGCGCAGCAGTCTGCCGGGCAAAAGTCATGCTGATATGCTACTGTGCAGTAGTATTAGGCTACTGCACAGTAAGCATCACAAAAAACCCGTGCACTAGTGGTACTGCACACAAGTTACTATGCATTGATTTAGTACTTAGATACCCAAACACTAAACTTAATGTGCAGTAACTATAGCGCATTAATGAAGGTGTAGACACACCGAGTGTGTCCTAATGACTCCTTTTATCAAAGGTCATGTAAAAGCTGACAAGCATAGACATTTAATACTGGCTTTGAAGCTCCACTGAAAATGTGATGTTCCTCCATTTTCAGCTTGCTTCCTTGTGCCTAGAAAGCGCTGGTGACTCACAGTCAGTGATGTTTGCCACCTGAAGGACTTGAGGAACCTGAACACAGATTTTCAAAGAGGAGAGAGGAAAAGATTGCAGATTTTTAAATGTTTATAGCCCTGGTTAGCCATTTCTGATGCCTCTGCCTGGAGGCAGTGCTTCTTGCCTTGAGTCGAAGGCAGGGAAACTAACGAGTGTTACTGTGTAAACAAACTACAGATTTTTATTTGTACTACATTTTCTTTATATTTTAATGGATTCATAAAACAGAAAAAAATCCCTGGTCATCTAAGCCCCAGGACAAAGATTTGAAACTGAATGTAAAATGTTTTACTCCATTTAAATGCTTGCAATATTTCAGAACAGGAAAAACTGGAATCATCCTGTTTTTACTACTATGTACTTCTGTAATTAATTTATTCCTAGCATCTGATGAAGTAGGCTGTTGGCCACAAAAGCTCATGCCTCTCTGAACCAGTTAAGGTGCCACCCTGTCCTACCTTCTGCTTGTCTTCAGAATAATACAGCTAACCACCTCTATTTGTACTTAGCATTGTACTACTTAAAAGAGATTATTTAATATTCTGAGGAGAAGAGACAGTGTCAAGAGTTACAAGTACTATAAAAGTTCAACATTCATTCTATTCTAACTCTTTAATTCCTCTGGTTCATGGTATTCCTTCTGTGTCACTAGCAGAGAAAGCAAGAAGGGTGAAGATAAGATTTCTAAGGATTCTGATGTCATCCATAAAAAGATGCTGTTAAAACACAAAATACTTATTTTATAATAACAGCTCTCCCTGAGTGTGTCAAGCTCCTCCTTGAGCTTGACAGGGTTTTCAACTCAGATTAAACAAGCAAGCATCTTAAATTTTCTGCAACTTTTTAACTTAAAAAACCCCAAAAGAACAAAAACAGAGTAGCCCTCCTAATACAGCATTGCTTTGGAGTTGTGTTCACATGAGTTGTCTTCTGTGCTTTTTATGAACAGCAGAAGCCACACCTAAGGGACATACTTCCCCACTAAGAACCTGGCCACTATTATTGAGAGGAAACAGCTGAAGCTCATGTCTCTGCCAAGAAGAAAGGGCAGTCTGTGAACCTTACTATAGCTAACAATTGTGTTTTATCTGCTTTTTCTGCAAAAATAATAATGTACAGTATTACCTGTATGTGTTCTTAGATGTTTCTTTAACTGAGCTGCATCCATGAATTTGCGACGACACAGGGTACATTCCGGCAATGAATGGCCTTGTCGCAATAATAAAAAAAGTGTCAGTGCATAAATGATCCCCTGTACTTCTTCAGTGATCTTTGTTAAAGCATTTCCCTGCAAAATAACCACTTTAATATAATATATAAAGAAGACAACAATGATTCACTGGTAATTTCTAATGCTGCAAGTTAACAGAAATTATAGCATATCCTACTCTCTCTCTCTAAATAATTATATTGTTGAAGAAAGGAGACTGTTTCAGTTCTCACTGTCCCAAGAAATCCCATGCCTTTCTTTTTAAATTTTGAAAGTCCTTAATTTCTTCCTACTCTACATGCTTATGATACAGTCACTGTATGTACCCAGAACAGGACTGGTCAGGACTTATTTTAAAGCTCATCAATACTATTCAGCAAGAGGAGAGGAACACCACAAGGTATAACAAATAGTGAAGAAAGCACTAGTTTTACAAAATCCCAGCTTACCTTGGGCAGAAATGACCAGGATTAAAATAATAAGACACCAGTCTTTCAAACAGCAGTGCAAATCAGTGCTTCTTGACCATCTGGCAAGCCTGCTTGGTTAACTATATTTCCAACATATCCCATTCCTTTGTCAGCTGTTCAGTTCTTAATTCCTCATATGTTCACTAGTTTCTGTACCAACAGTTTGTTTCAGAAACCTGTATCAAGATCTTTGGCAACCCATCACAGAATATTCACAGCCCAAGCCATCACTCCAACCCAAATGTGTTATACCTGTATGCACTCGGTAGTGACTCTTTAGTTGTCTCTTTTGGCTGAAAAACTTTCCACATTGATCACAGGTAAAAGACTTCTGTCCTGTAACAAAAAAAAATCCAAAATATCTATAGAAACACAGTACCCTTGTATAAATTTAGACTCCTTACACTGGATGGTAGCCAGAACTCAAAACAAGCCTAATACAAGGTAGGGTTAAGTTAGAGTTGTCACAGGATATTTACCTGTATGAAGGCTCATGTGCTCCAAGAGGGAATGCTTTGTTGTCAGAGCCTTGTTGCAGACAGTACATGTGTATGGACGTTCTCCTGTGTGCATCCGCTCGTGAACCTGGAGGGAGTGCTTCTGGGAAAAGCCTTTGCCACATTCATTGCACTTAAAAGGGCGTTCGCCTAAAGGTACAGTACCAACTTTGTAAATATTCTAAGCTGGCAGTACGTTACATTTATTATACAGTTATCAGTAGAGCAGGAGATTTCAGAAAGAAATTAAATAAAAGACCTTAGCTTCTTGTAGCAAACATATGAAAGTATAATCATTGTCTGTTACTATATGCACTGACGATATCCTGTTTTCTATTGGGCAACTAGAACGCAATCTACCCACAAACACAAAGAAGATTATGTTCTCGGGTGAAGATGGAATTAAACTTTAGAAAAAACAAACCAAAAAACCCCCACCAAAATCTAAAAGATGCAACATATCTAGTTTGTTACTGGCAGGAAGAACTGGCTAAGAAATTCTGTGTTGCCGTAACACCATGCAACAGTTAAATAATCACAATCAAACCAACCCTAATAAGTTACAGTACCCTAACCCAAAATGAGCAGTCTTTTCATGCCTACCTGTATGACTTCTCTGATGAATAGCTAAAAAGTGATTATATTTAAACACTTTGCCACAGTCTTTACAGCGAGCTTCAGAACCCGTACGCTTTTTTTTCCCATCTGTCCTTTTCATCAGTCCTTTCTCTTCTTCATCACCCAAAAGTTTGTAATCTTTTAGCTTGACAGACCTCCGTAACCGACGTTTGCTATACCGACTCTGAGTGCTCTGTATTCCTTGAGATTTGGGGTCGTAGTTCTCATCCTTTTCAGCTGACAGATCTACAGCAGCATCTGACCCACAAGCATGTTCAGTTTCTTCAACTTCTTTCCTTATTGGACCTTGTTCATCAACAACTGCTTCTTCTAACGCAACTTCTTTTTTCATAAAATTTTGTTTATTCTGCACAGAATTATTCTCTCTCAGCTGTACATCTTCAACAGAAGCTGTCCCTAGTTTTTCGTCTGGGGTATTCTTGACTTTTCTTGGTCTTCCTCGCTTTCGCTTTGGTGGATCTTCATTTTTCTTGTCATTTGGCAAGACAACTACAGAAGCCCCATTATTAGAAATGACAGGTAATGCATCATTTGGGCGACGGTTTGTCTGATAATCTGTGAAGGCCCATACTAAGTCATTCACTTTTAAGAGCTGTGCAGTAGCCAAGATTTGTTCTGTACTTTTTTCGCTGGCCTGGAGATAACCTGTGTAGATGAATTCTAGTAGCGCACCAAAAGTATCTGCAACCATGCCTTCCAGCATATAAATTGACTGGCCTATCTCTCCTTCATCTACAAACATCATTGAAAAGTACTCACTGCTGGCAGCCAGTAGAGCTTTGTGGGCTCTGAAGTGCACGTTTTCCACTATTAAAGTAATATCACAAAGAAAATCTTTTTTCCTTTGTTCCTCAAAATTAGCCAGAATGGTATCTCTGTGAGCTTTGGAGTGGATAACAACAAGTTTCTCTGAAGTGTCTGGAGTTTCTTCTGCCATTTTTACTGCAAACAGGAAAAGATTTTCCTAGGAGAATAAACAGTTTTATAGCAAAAATAAATCATTTTACAGTTTGCACTGCAACCTCCCCACACTAATGACAGCCTGCTCCGCAAGAGGATTAACAGTATAGAAATTTCTGAAGCAATATGGAAACTTGTGGTTTTGCTCTAAAAAGCCAGTATTAATGTTGCCATATACTTTTCCCCTTCCAACAGAATAACATTTTTAAAACTTAAGAAATGGGTAAAGAAACTCCCTTTTGGGAAGAAAATTACTATTGCTGTTTGTTTAGTAGCCACATGCTGCTCAGCACCCTAATCACTGCCCCTCCTGAAAATAAGATATATTTTTTGCAATTAAAAGCAAACTAAGCAGTACCACTCCTCTCAGCAGAAACAGAACAATGAAGCTGTACCATTTTTCTACAAAAGTCATGTCTAAGTTTCCCCTGGGACTATGCTATGGAATCCAGACCAACTGAAGTCGATGGCAAAGTCTCCACCAAGTTCTACAACGGCTGGATTTCACTCACAGGCCTGTTCTCCAAGCTCTGCTGATATAATGCCAGTCTGTTGGCAAAACATTGTGCACATCCAAGTCCAAACTTCTCTGAGGCAGCAGAGTTACGCTGCCTTAGCTGAAATAGACTTCTTCTGTTGGCTGAGCTGTGTCCACACCAGAGGTTTTGCCAGAATAGACAGATTGGCTAGGGAAGTGATCTTTTCATATCCTAAGCTGACAATACCTACCTCAGCAAAGCTTGGTAGTATAGATTGGCCTGTGGTCCTTGTTGATGCTAAGTGCCAGTGAGCACTAGACAATTTGGGCTGTTTGTGCTTGTTGATCCTTTTGGTTACTGTAGGTGCCATCTAACAGCTTTCACAAAAGAACTGCTCCCTCTCTGACCTTGCTGTCTTTGTGATCAAGGGAAATCTACCAAGCACCTTTAAAAAACACGTTTGGGAACAACAGATCATAAGCAGGCTGGATGCTAGGAACCGAAGACTGAATACTAATACCAATTTTATAGCACACTAATCTACCTGATTCTTGAAGCTCTTCCTATGCTCAAAAGGGTTGCTATCATCTGTTGCGTAGTCTCAATCCCCCCCATAATCAATTTTCTTTTCTTAACTGTTTGGGTGATGTCTGCTAACCTGGGACTTTCCTCCCCTGGCTTCCCTCCAAACTTACAGCTCCATTCTCTGTTGTTAACTGTGATCAGTGGCCGGGCCACTTTCCTCCTCAGAACGGATAAGGAGTGTCTGGCATTCAAAGGTTGTCTAACATCATTTCAACCACTGAGTTGGTCTAACAAAAGGCACTGTCCACAACATCCCTGCCTCCTGCCTAAAAGAACGAAATTAAAAAAAAAAAAAACGAGCCACATCCTTGTGCCCTGCACAGATGGGACTCACAGAGCACGTGCAGAACACGCCCAAACTTCCCTGCGTGGGCCTTTCGCAGTGCTCCTCCCCCTCCCAACTGCTTTCCCACAAGTGCATGTAGCTGTAAGGCCTCTGCACTGCAGCTGGGCAACTGGGTCAGCAACACTGCACACTGCAGCGGGGCCTCTGCCAGAGGACTGGTTCCCAGGCTGCTTCTCAAGTGCTCTTGCAGCACCTGGCCCTGCTGCACAGCGAACTGGCTTCAGTCTGCAGGTAGCTGTGGCCTGTGTGATGTCCCTGGTGCCTGTTCCTACCTGGGTGCCCAGACGCTGAGCTTCAGAGCCCAGGGCTGACTTTGGCTCGCTTCCTGACAGCTGTTTCTGGTAACCCCTGGCTTGACCTTGCCTTGCCCCTTGCTTATGGATGCTCTGTGGTCCCACCAAGCCCCCAACCTCCTGGCCACCCCCTCCTGGCTCCGGGCAAGCCACCCGTCTATTTGACGGGACGGAGGCTCTGGTCGCGGGCCGTGGTCTTGTCCCCTGTCCGTTCCCGTCTCAAGGCAGATTGCCTGGGCAGCGCCTGGGAGCTCCCTGTACTCCTGCCCCGCACTCCCCTACCCGCGTTGCCCTTTATTTGTCCCACGAGTTGAGCTGACACATCCCCTCGCTCCTCTGCTACCGCACGGGCCCGTCCACACGTATCCAACAGGCCTCAGCCCGGACGCTAGGGCCGCCCCCCTCGCCGCAGCGCGGGGCCCCGGAGCGGGCAGGACCTGCCCCGTGGCCGCCTCGCCCCGGTCACGTGACGCCCGC